ATTCCATAACCCGGTGGATAGCCGCCGGGCACTCCGCCTGTCCCATGTCCGGCCAGGCCCTTTCGCACACTAATCTCGTCCCCAATCGGGCTCTCAGGAACCTAATCTCCGCCTGGTGCCGCGAGCAAAATGTCACCTTCTATGGCTTCGATTCCAATAAGGGGGAGCCGCCCTCCGCCATTTGCACGAACAAGGCGGCGCTCGAAGCGGCAAGGATGACCGCAACATTCTTAGTAAAAAAGCTCGCTTCATCGCAGTCGACAGAGTTGGCAAACCGCGTCGTTCACGAGCTTCGTTTGCTGGCCAAAACCGGATCGGAAAACCGGGCTTTCGTTGCGGAGGCAGGGGCCATTCCTCTGCTTCTCCCCTTCCTTTCATCCGAAGATTCAACCTTGCAGCTCAACGCCGTCACGGCGCTTCTCAACCTCTCCATTCTAGAAGCAAACAAGAAGAGGATCATGCACGCAGAAGGCGGGATTGATGATCTGATCCACGTCTTAGCCAGTGGTGCCACGTGGTGCTCGAAGGAGAACGCTGCTGCCACACTTCTAAGCTTATCAACAATCCACGCTTACCGGCGTCGGCTCGGGAGGAACCAAAGAGTTGTAACAGAACTAGTCGCGCTCGCGCGCAAGGGCCCTGCAAGCGCGAAGAAAGATGCTCTCGCGGCAATCCTGAGCCTTGCTGGCGATCGTGAGAACATTGCGCATTTGGTGGAGTGCGGCGTTGTAGAATCGGCTTTGGAAGCGGTGTCCTCTACAGAAGTAACGGAAGAGGCGGTGGCGGTGCTTGCTGCTTTGGCTAAACGCGGCGGCGCAACCGCCGTAATGAAATCCGATGGTTCAATTTCTAAGCTTGTCGGGGTTATGCGTCGCGGGTCGGATTGGTCGAAAGAGAATGCTGCCGCTGCACTTGTTTTGCTTTGCCGGAGAGAGGGTGCTGCCGCCGTGTCTGAGCTTTCAAGGATTCCGGGAATTGAATGGGTTATATGGGAGTTGACGGGCTCTGGTACAGTGAGGGGGCGGCGCAAGGCTGCAGCTCTCGGGAGGATTTATCGTAGATGGTTGGCGGCTGTGGAGGAGGCTGATCGCATGGTTAGATTTTCGCCGGCGAGTATCTCGAGTTCAGCTACAACGGCACAATCATGAGGCCACGTCTTCTTCTTCTTCTTACTCGCCAGTGCGCAACATCCGAAATGTGATTCGATCCTCAACTGTGAATATCTCGAGCTCTATTGTTTTCACTTTTTCTTTTTTCCTTCATCCTTCCTTTCAAATTTTCAACTCATTCTTCTGATAATTTTTAGTCACATTTGATTGGAGATGTATCAATTTCCTTAGCCATTGGCTGATGATGGAAACAAAAGATTAAGATTTATTCTAGAATTTTTAGTGGCACAATTGTGGAATGGGATATCGATTGGCTGTTATATGTACTTGTATTTTCTAGATCTTGGATTATTAATGCATAGTGTATAAGCTCTATTATTTTCGTTGGCTTAAACTTCGCTTATTATACTTTGAAAAAGTTTTATTAGGCTTAAAAGGAGCTGCGGCAGCTAATTTCTCTGCTTTCTTTTGTGGGAGTGATTATTGCGTGCGGAGGGAGCACGCAGAGCTGCGCGCGCCCTCCGATCACAGCCGCACATCGCGGCTGCATGACAGCTCCGCGCCTAATAATTAGACCTTTTGTGGTGGAGCCGGCTCGCTAAAAGATGCTCATTTAGTATTCGAGAGATTGTGATGATAATTCCGCTATTCACGTCGGATGTTGTTTTTTCTTGTAATATAATTTTTAATGATAAAGTTGAATGCTGATGGCCTGGCAACCACAAATTTGATCATTAGAATTCTGATAGCGGAAACGGTCCACGATTGTGTGCTCTGCAAATGCTATGCTTTCAGTAAACGCTGTGTCGAGCTGGATTGCTTTTCCATTTTGTATCGCATCTACTGCGCCGCAATCCACAAACTTGGTTGGCAATGGAAGTTGGTTCTTAGAAGCAAAGCACGGTAGGATTTCACGTGGTTAAAATGCAACTTTGGTCAAATTTGGATTCTAGAGGAAGGTGTTACGGCACCAGATTATAAGAAAATGGAGACAGCAACCATATGGATATGTTTTGTATTTCTTAACAGAAAAAAAATTACAATCTGGAAAAAAAATCTCAAGAATAAAATTGTTTCAAAATATTAAAAATAAATACAGACACGAAATAGGTAGACAACGAGTTAATGAAATGGAACACAGAGCACAATACAGAGGGAAAACCAAATGCCTTACCGGAAATTTAGTATACTAGCCTATCAATACAAGGACTAGGCATAAGAAAATCTGCTTAAGCCACCAAAGCAGTAATTGTACAATAAATGACGTGCTTTTCACATATACTGAATTTCTCAAGAAATCTTTCTCAACCAAATAAAATATGAGTATGGTCTTAGAAAAAAAACATACTCATTACATTTCCAGTACATTTTACCCAGCCTGCAAAAAAAAATGAATAGTGCATATTTACTCGTACATCACACAAAATTTTGCAATTTGGAGAGGATAAAATCACTGAATAGAGCAGGAGAGGATAAAAAATCATTAGAGATAAGATCACTGAATAAAGCATTTGGAGATTGATTTAAAATAGAGAAAGCTAGCCACGCATCTAATCTCACATAGCCTAGGTTCCATTAATCCAAGAGTCATCAAAGATGAAATTTAATCTCAATTTGAAAGCTAACATTGCTTCTTAAATGAAAACTACCTTAGGTTGTGGTTGAGAGGTTAATTTTTCAACAAAGCGGTCCTGGATTCACGGCCTTTTATATATGATGCAAGTTTGTTTACGATTAAATTCCTTCAAATCCCTCCCCCCTCCCCAAAAAAAAAAGCATTGCATCTTATTGAAATAGCAAAGAATTAGAGCTTTTTTGATCTTCCAAGCTGTTTAGGTGAAAGGGAGAGAAAAAAGTCATGACCTTCATATTTTTTTGGTCTAGTATGAGGCGTTGGCATTGGCTTTATGAAGGCCTTGGCTCCTTGATAAATAAGGCCTGCATATATTTTTTTGTCTGGAAGGTGGAAACCCGCTATTGCTCCTTAGCTCCTTGGTGCGCAACACTGACTTTATGCAGTTTTGACGATTTGGATATAAATCTGGGACAAATGGTAACTTTCAATAGATTTCGAGCTCATTCTCATTTTTTCTTTCTCAAGTACTGTGTGAGAGAAAGACGAGAGATCATGTGTGTATGTGTGTATTGTGTGTGAGAGTTTGGGAGGAAAGTGAGGGAGCGAAAAGTTCATGTACTTGGGAGAACAAATCAAAGTGAGTCTTCATTGTAAAATGAATGATTATGGTGAAACAAAGAAGATACTTATTATGTTTGATTTTTCTTCATTATGAACACTTTTTCATGTAGATTTCAAAGGAAGTTTGTTTGTTTTTTTCACACATGCTTTGGAACAAAGTTTTTTGTGCTTCTTTGATTTGGTATATTAATGAATCAACTTCTCTGGATGTGCTTTCCCTAAGATACATCATGATCTTACTGCATATTGGTGTTTTATTTTCTCAATCTTAATTTACTTCCGATCTGATCAATTGAAATGTTGAGATCACTTTTGATCTAGGGCTACTGACCATAGACTAGAAGAATAAATAAGATAACACTCAAAAACATAGTGGAATAAAAATATTTCTAGTAAGAGATTACAATTTTGTAGGGGGATAGAGAATTCTTGGGAGACTTTGTAAGATTAAGCAAACATGGTCATAATATGAGGCTCCAATGCTTCTTATGTCTATGAATATAATAAGAAAATCAGCTTAAGACAACAAAACAGTCCGTTAAATGTAAAATAAATGACGAGATGTTCACATATAATGAATATCCCAAGGAATCTTTCTTAACCAATTAAAAAATGAGTATGGCCTCAGAAAAAAAAAATTTTACTCATTACATATCCATTAGATTTTGTCCAACCTGGAATAAACCTGAATACTGTATATTTTCTCATACATCCCACAAAATGTTGCAAGCCAAAAGGTGAGGATAAAAAAAACATTATAGATAAAATCAATAAATATGGCATTTGGAGAGTGATTTAACGCGAAGAAAGCTAGTCATGCATCTAATCTCACATAGGCCAAGTTCCATCATTAATCCAAGAGTCATAAAAAAGGAAATTTAATCTCAATTTGAAACATAACATTGCTTCTTAAATGAAAACTACCTTAGATGTTTGGTTGAGTGGTTAATTTTTCAATATAGAGGACTTGGATTCAAGGCTTTTTATATATGATGCAATTGTGTTAATCATTAAGTTCACTTAAATTTCCAAACAAAAAAAATTACTTCTTAAATAAGTAGCAAGAAATAAGAGCTTTTTTTTAACTTCTAAATTGTTTAGGTGAAAGGGAGAGAAAAAGTGAAGGCCTTCATAATTTTTTCATCTAGTCGGAGGCTTCAAGGTAAAATTTAAAACTTACCATTTAAATCATCATTGAAAAGAAACCTAATAATAAAACTTTTGACCTATTTTTAACAACTTTTTGAATGTAAGGAGAACTTTTAAGGGTCTTTCTGGTTTGTTGTACTGTTTGTGTAGTGCATTCATTTTGCGTGGTCTTATAAAGGTTTTTCATTTGGTGGATGAAAAAAAAAGAATTTAAAATTTTGTTATATTTTACTTACATTGCAGTTTGATTATGGTGATTAATGTATAGAAAAGGAGACGTAATATTACATATATTTTTCTATAGTATTTGTATCATTTGTAAGTTTCTTTTGTGCTAGTTGTGTTTGTATATGCAGTATATATGTAAAGAGGTAACATAGGGAGCATAAGGAAAAAAAAGATGTCAGGTTCTGGACTGGCATAAAGACACCAAAGCTTGGTGCCCAACACACAAAGCAACCAAAAATTCCCCCAAAATGCAGAGCTGTTGGAAAGTCGATGCCTAAATCAAGCACCCAAGAGCTTAAAAAAAACTCCTTGTAACCCATTCCTGGATCCTACACACATGATTTTAACATCTCCTTTACACCAAAAAACCAAGTGGGTAGAAACCTGTTGTTTCCCTTTGGCGCATAACAATGAATTTATGTAGTTTTGACCATTTGGAGAAAATTTTGGTATAAATAGGTAATTTTAAAAGTGTGTCGGGCCGATTTTCATTTTTTCTTTCTCAAGTACTGTGTGAGAGAAGGGAGAGAGAACATGTGTGTGTGTGTGAGAGAGAGATTTTGGGAGAAAAGCGAAGAAGACAAACGTTCACATACTTGGGAGAACAACTCAAAATGAGTCATCATTGTAAATGGAATGATTGTGGTGAAACAAAGAACATATTTATCATGTTTGATTGTTCTTCATTATAAACACTTTTGAATTTAGATTTCAAAGGAAGTTTGTTTGTTTACTTCACACATGCTTAGGAACAAAATTTTTTGTGCTTTTTTGATTTGGTAATTTGATCAATCAACTTCCTTCGATGTGCTTTTCCTAAGGCACATGATGATTTTATTGCATATTGGTGTTTTATCTTTTCAATTTTAATTTACTTTCAATTTGATCAATTGAAATGTTAAGACCACTTTTGATCTAGGTTTATTGACCATAAATTAAGAGAATAAATAAGATAACACTCAATCACCTAGTGGAATAAGAATGTTACTAGTAGAAGATTGCAATTTTATATGCGACTAGAAGGTTTTTGGGAGACTTTGTAAGATTAAGCAATCATAGCCATAATATGAGGCTTCAATATTCTTGTCTATGAATATAATAAGAGTAATTTTCTCCCATTGTTAATATTATGTATAGGAAATTCATTAAATGAAGATTGATGATTCACATGATCCAATTAAAAGAAGCATATCTGTCGGCACTATTTTTGGTTGATGAGTTGTCCGTAAGAAGCTGTCGGTCACTGGAATGGAAATCCTGTCGTCCGCAATGACATTTTAATTTACATTTTAATTTACATATAGATTTAAGTTTTAAAAAATATGAAATCAAACTGACCCCATATTTTTCATAGTTTAAATGAAAGAGCGTTATACCTCAAATCATGTATTCGAAGGATAAACACAAGACTTAAGGATGAGCTCAATCAAATAAACTAAGAATTGTATGACGCCCGTTTGGTCTGCAAAACCGTTTTATTTTTCGAAAATTTCCCCTGTTTAATATGAAGAATTAAATAGGGTTTATATTAAGCTGGGTTCAGATGAGCTTCCTATAAGGGCAAACCCCTATAGTTAATTACATCTTAGATAACCGAAGTCACCTAAGAAAACTCTTGATAAAAATCAGGAAATATTATCTTCAAGGAGTTCAAAAAGATAGGACTTTTCAACGAAATCGGACAAAGAGGTGTGAAACGGGATTGGCTCAAATTTGGAGCATTTTTTTTTGAATCCAAAGGAGGAAGAACTGGGGAATGTAATAAATCCAGAGGAGAACCTTGGTGACTTCCCAGTCTATCCTATGGCTTGGCTTCAATT